TGTTGGTGAAATCTTCATCAATGAACTAAGGGAGTATCGGATGCAGAACGGTCCATCATTGCTATTCCCATCGCTTATCACTAAGCTATGCCAACTTACCGGTGTGGAAGAGGCTCCGGGGACAATTGGATAGAGCCGGGAAAACCTCTAAATCCATTGAAAAAGAGAGGAGAGGGCGGCGCTGTGAAGAGCAAAAAGAGAAAGGTGGTTTCTTCTTCTCAGGTTGACCCGAGTAGTCAGTCATCATCCTCTGCAGGAGGACCATTTGCTATGCTGAGTGAGGAGATGCGAGTGATTCGCGAGCTGGTAGCTGGCGTTCCACAGGGACCTGGGGAGATATCTGAGGGGCCTGCTTATATTTCAAAGAAAGAGTTCCAAAAATACATTGAGGATCAGAGGAAGCAGGGGGATCACCTCAAGGCACTGGAGAAGGCATACACTGATCTGGCCAAGAAGCATGGTGAGTTGAGCAGTTCCCATGGCAATCTAGAAAAGGCACACACCCAGATGAAGAAAAGGAAAAGAAAAGAGACAAATTCTTCACTCGCATGTGGAAGGGTGTGAAGGGGCTGTGGAAAGTCCTAAAGCCTCAGGACCCAATGCCATCGACCAAGCCAATAGATGATGATGATTTTCCTGTTCATTGGTCCGAGGAAGAAGGAGAGGAGGAGGATTCTGACTCAGACAGCGAGGAGAGCACTTGATGCAGTATTCAGGGAGCACTTTCTACCATTTTTACTCTATTATGTTTTGTTGCATTGGGGACACTGCAACATCTGTAGTTGGGGGTGGATTCTTGTATAACTGTTGTTCTAGTATAATTGTGAATATATGGCAGATTGGTGTTGTAGTTGTTTTCATTTTGTTGTTAGTATATTTTCATGTGATGTATGATAGTATGATGTTTAGTAGCTTCTTAAGTTCTTGTTTGTTATATATATATATATATATATATATATATATATATATATTATTTTTTAGTTACTTGATATTTATTAGCTTCTAAATCTTTTTTTTAAGTATGTTTTATATTAGTGGCAATATCCTTGGTTTTCTTTATACCACGGTTCTTTTTCCAAGGATGCCATTTTTCTTCTTGAACCGGGTAATTGTAGAAAATTTTTGTCGGCTTCTCCCGATGATGCATAGATAGACAACTTTCTTAAGGGAATTAGTCTTGTAGTTAGATATAGCTTATCTTAATTTAGGAAAATAAATGATTTGGGTTGGAGTTTGTGCCCATTGACCAAGTGGTGGCTTGCTTGGTACCAACATGATTTAAACCTCGGACATATGAAATTTTGGCTGTTGAAAATGAAAAATAATTGAAGTAAAGATGTCATGACTTTTAGACTCAAATTTTGGCTCTTTAATTCACAAAATAGCTTCCTATGCTACATGTAACCTCTTTGAGTCATTGGTTTCAATTGGATTTTGGATTTGTATTCCACTTGAGTGTTCATGTGCCATGTGTGGTGAGATTTATTGTGAGTCCTTTTGCATTACTTGTAGTCTAGAACTTGCCCGGAATGTGCTTCAAGGCGAAATTATAGACTAGGTTTGAAAAATGATATTAGGCCTTCCTTGGACCGCCATTGTGCCTTAAATTTCCTACCCTTGAATATTTTCCCTAGTCAACCCATTTTGAGCCTTTAACCTTGCTCTTTGGCAACCATGTTACAATCTTTATTCCGTTGTTCTTTATTGAGCTAGCTTTTGGCACCCTACCTCCCTAAATACTTTGAAAGTGTAAACATAGGCTAAAAGCCTAAGTTTGGGGGTGAAGGTTGGAAAAGTTGTAATATGAAAGTTGTTACAAAGGTGAAAGGTAGAAAAAAAATTTGATTGATAAAAAGTGAAACCTTCCTTAAAAAAAATGAAGAACAAAAAAATATAATAAAATGATAAGAAATTGTGAATAAAGGGAAGACTACTGTGGAATGAAAAGTGAAGAAAGGATGGAGAATGTTTTCGAAGGAAGTGGACTTTGAGCTAAGAACGAAGAATGGGAAAAGAGGAAGCAGAGAAATCGTTGGAGCAAACACGGGGGAGATGAGAAAGAACAACCAGAGACGAAATGGCCAAGAGTTTTTAAAATTACAAACCCTCCACCTATTTATAGGATTGGGTAGCGCCAGAATCGAAGCGGAAGGCTACAGAATGGCACAAAAATCGAAGCGACAAGACGTCAACCCTTGTCTCGAAAACACGCATAATGATGATGCATGTGGAAATGATGTCATTTCCCGATAAGATACACCACCCAGGGTCTTGTTGAGCACGCTAAAGCCATAACGCTTCGTGAAACCAAATTTCTCCATAGGAGTGGGCGGTGTCCGCTTATCAAGGACGCACCAAGTTTCAACCTCGATAAGCGGAGGGACTAACTGTATGGGTCCAAATTTGGACAACCACGGCCATTGACAAATACGACAGAAGACGAGATCTTCATAGCTTGACGTCTTGCGGAGGACGACAGACAACGAACAGAAGACGTACGACTTTTATAGTAGTGTAGGTCCAACAGGGGGCATTAGGAATATACTCGCGAATATTCCCTATGATACGTCTTTGAGGGTTCAGAAGGGGTTTGTCCTTTATATATAGTAGGGAAAAAACCTTGTTGAAAGGGGCTTTTTTGGCTGATTTGGCTAAGAATACTGATTGTAATACTTTTGTAGATAAAAGATTGGCATTTCGAACATTCAAGCACTGACTTTCACAAGATCAAGAAATATTACCCATTGTGTTTGTCTTTTATACCCTTTTGTTCTAGAGTTCATTATACTTAGCTAAGATTTACCCCTTCATTCTCTTTAATTAATTTATTCAAACAGGTTCCAATATCTTTTGAGTCAAACAGAGAGTATGACAAATTACCTGATATAATAGGTAAATGTGATATAATCTCGATGGTGTAAAATTATTGTACTAATTAATATAAGTTTCAAGCGTGGACGATGAGAGTCCCTACATATCATATGATTCTCGTTCTTGAATTAAATTCACACTTTTCCAAACCCAAATATATAGGATTCTAGGATTCCTCCCGGAGGGAAATGCTTTTATGCATACCTATTCTGATTAACGCACACTATCGTCTATTCTCAAAAGATGATACACACTAGCTAACCGCCCCTTAGCCCGATGCTCATGATGTGCTATGGAACCTCCACCGTGCCAGGGGAGGGGGACCAAGTAGGGCATAGCTAGCGGCATAAGAGTCGACTCGGCATCAGCGGCTTCGTGCCGCACTGGAGTAATCCAATAGTTATCATGAAACACCATGAGCAGCAGGATGTTCGGGTCCGAAATTCGAAGTGAAATTTTTTGTTCGCCTGTTCTTAGTCGTCATAGGAAAGAAATACAAAAATAAGAAAGAGATTATTCCCTTAGAACTTGTCCAATCCACCAGTACCCGAAGTGCATATTCTTCGCCTGCGCGAGAGACTTCTAGGCGCTACATCATAAACACATTCAGAGCGGAGATAATTATCCTAATGTACGCAAAATTGAACTCATTCCAAAATCTGGAAAAGTTGCAAAATAAGTCCTCTACAACGATTTTTAGTTGCCAACATAGTTTGTCTCTACCCTACAAATCCAGACTAATACATATCCCATGAAACTCTTTATTCAATGCCGCACCGTCCGCCCAAATTCTCTTCTTATCATATATAGTCCTCCCTCGAAAAACATTCTTCTCAGTTTTCACTGTCCCACCACCCACTATACACTTTTAGCATGAGTTTAGTTTGGTGCATGGAACATGGGAGTGTTCCATCTATAACTATAAAGACTGTCATTTCAGAATGCAGTCAAAATGTTACTAGGTGAAAGTGGATCAGCAGGGGCGGCTCGATATAATTGGGGGTCTAAAGCGTTACTACAATTAGAGGCCCAAATTTTTTATAATCGACTTCGTTAGTAATTATTTTTCAATTGATAATATATCTAACTGCTTTAATCACTCTTGAGACAATATTGTTGGTCGTATCTATGTTTATTTTGAAAAACCTCTTCCATTGAGGAAATTGTTAGGCATTCAAAAAAGAATCAAGTCTTTTTATGTAACTAAGTATATAAATTAGAGCATTATCTTCTACTTGTATTATCTTTTTAGGCATTAGAGTGATTATTATGCTTTGATGATCACAAAAGGTTAACACAACATTTTATTTGAAATTCTCATCATTTATCAATCTCAATTTATTAAATAATACTTATAGAAAACTCTTTCTCTAGAATGAAATTTCTTCTCAGCCATTGCTAAAAATGACGAGGAAATCAAAGGCTGGAGGGGGAGAGTCGCACATGCAAGGAACAAATCTGAGCAACGCGAACGGAACAAGAGGACTTCCACAATCAGCGGACGCAAAGAGAACTCGCAGTATCAATGTTTTGCAAGGGATACGACCATTAGATCTGAGCCAATCAGCTATTGATGGTGAGGCATCAGGGAATTGTACAACAATTAACAGAAATGGAGGAAAAAAACAGGATAAGGGACGCAAATCATGGGCAGAAAGAGTGGGGGATGAGGAGAAATTGACGGAGAAAAAGGACAACAAAGAGATGAGCCCTAAATCATGGAGGAAAGTTGTTGCAAGCCCAATTATTGAAGGACTGGACTTAACACCCCAAGTTCAGGACAATTTGAATGTGAAAATAACTATGGAGGATATAAAGGAGGAAAAAGAATTCTGGAATTCAACAGTCATGTGTTTTATACTAGGATCTAATCCACCACAAGCAGTTATGGAAGGATACTTTCAAAGGATATGGGGATCGCTTGGCATAGACAAGATAGCACAGATTAATAGAGGAGTGTTCATGGAGAGATTCCATAGCTTTGAAAGCAAAATCAAAGTAATTGAGGATGGAGTCCAGATGTTCGACAGAAAACCAGTGGTGGTAAAACCATGGAACATGGATATGAAAAAGGAATCAGTTGAATTGATCCCAATGTGGATTAGGTTCAATGGACTGGATATAAAATAATGGGACAAGCTGCACTTACAAAATTGGCAGGACTGGTAGGTAAACCATTAAAAGCAGATCGAGCTACAACACAGAAGGAGAGACTTACATATGCCCGAGTCCTGGTTGAGGTTAAACCTCATCAGAAATATCCATACACAATCATGTTCGAGGATGAGAGAGGCAGAATTGTGGAGCAGGAGGTTTTCTATGAATGGAAACCTACTCTGTGTGGAAAATGCAAGAATTTTGGGCATGAAATGAATGAGTGCAGGAGATTTATCAAAGAAGAAAGGGAGAAACAAGCAAATAAACAGGAACTAAAAGAGCCAACTGAAGTACAGACGCAAAAACAAGTGGAAAAGAAGAATGCAAATATGCAGAATAAAGGAGAACATGGACAAAAACAACAAGTGATTGGGCCAATAAGCAAGGGAAACACTGGGAATGAGGTAGTAACCATTGGGAATGAGGTAGCAACTACATCTAGAACTTGGAAGAATTCAGGAAAGGGAAGGGCAGGGGATGGAATACACTAGGATACTATCAGTACTGAGAACTCTTTTGCAACACTAAAAGGACCATCAACAAGAGAAAGCAGAAGCAGCAAATGAGAATGTGGTGGAGAACAGGAATAACAAAGGGAAAGGGAGTGAGATGGCTCTAGGAAAATGGCAGGATGGGGGCAATCCCTCATCCAATGGATAGAATAGGCTTCTGGAATGCCAAGGGATTGAATAAGCCACATAAACAGAAGGAAATGAACCTGTTTATGAACAAACAAAGAGTTGGCTTATTTGGTCTCCTGGAAACAAAGATTAAGAGAGCTAAGGCACACAAGCTGATATTAATCTATGCAATGGTTGGTCATTTACTACGAACTTAGTAAAGCATCCGGCAAGGAGAATATGGGTTGTATGGAAACCTGGAGTATATGATGTCAATATAACAAGTGTAACTGAGCAACTTATACACTGTATGGTCCAACATAGAGGGACAAGATAACAGTTCAATGTTACAATAGTTTATGGGTTTAGCAATCAAAACATGAGAAGGCAACTATGGGAAGATATCAAGAGTATACACCAACAAGTCAGAGGGCCTTGGGCAATAATGGTGGACTTTAATTACATTCTGAGTACTGAAGAAAGAATGGAGAGCTTGGTTACTATGGCAAAAATCAGGGAGTTTAAAAAATGTATGGAGGAATGCTCAACGCAGGACATGAGATCCTCAGGAGCATTCTATACTTGGAGCAACAAACAACCTGGAGAAAGCAGAGTAATGAGAAGAATAGATAGAGTCCTTATCAACTTTGAATGGATGACAAAGCTGCCTGCATCAGAGGTCCACTATATATAACCAGGGCTATTTGATCATTCCCCGGGCATAATTAATTGGGAGGGAGGTGGGCAGCAGGTGAAAAGAAGTTTCAAATACTTCAATATGTGGAGTATGGCATGTGATTTCAAAGAAAGAATAAAAGATGGCTGGAAAACAAACAAGAGGGGTACACAAATGTACCAGTTGGTGGGGAAACTACACAGAATCAAGAGCACCTTACAGAAAATCAACAAGGAGAGATTCAGCAACATTGAAAAAAGAGCAGAGGAAGTACTAAATACCCTTTAACAGTGTCAAAGCAAAGTACAGAAGGACCCTAGAAATGAAGCATTAATCAATGAAGAAGTAAGATTAAATGAGGAGTGCAGCAAATGGGAGAAGGCAAGGAACATGTTCTTGCAGCAAAAGGCTAAGGCACAATGGCTCAGACAGGGGGACCAAAACACTAAATACTTTCATAGTCTGTTGAAAGCTCGAAGGAACAGTAACCGATATTTCACATCAAGGACATGAAAGGGTGTGACATAGATGATCCAGTCAAGATTCCAGATGCATTTATAGAATTTTACATAGAAATGTTGGGAAGGAAATTGGAGGGAAGGGATCATGTAAATAGCCAGCTAATAAGACATGGGCCAACTGTGAAAGAGGAGGAAAGGAATGAACTGGCAGTAGACTTCACAGAAATAGAGGTGAAGGAGGCTCTATGGGCAATTGCAGGAGATAAAGCTCCAGGTCCGGATGGGTTTGGAAGCCAGTTTTACAAAGACTGCTGGGATATTGTGGGTGCAGATGTAAAAAGTGGAGTTCAGGAGTTCTTTAGAGAAGGCAGAATGCTCAAAATTGTCAACAACACTGTGATAACTCTTATCCCCAAGAGCACTCATACTGAGGCAGTAGGTGACTATAGACCAATTGCTTGTTGCAATACAATATATAAAGTGATCTCGAAGATGCTATGCAATAGGCTTAAAAAAGTACTACCTGGGATAATCTCTCCTAATCAAAGTGCTTTTGTGGAAAGAAGGAATATAGTGCACAATATATTGATATGCCAAAATCTGGTGAGGTTGTACAAGAGGAAGAATACGACTAGAAGCTGTCTAATTAAAGTAGACCTAAGGAAGGCATATGATACTGTGGAGTGGGAATTTGTGGAAGAGATGCTGCAGCCTCTTAACTTCCTCAAAAATTCATAAAGTGAGTGATGGCTTGCATCACATCTACTCATTATACAATAGCAGTGAATGGTGGAGTCTATGGCAACATTGAGGGCAAACGAGGGCTAAGGCAAGGGGACCCAATATCACCCCTCCTATTTGTAATTTGTATGGAATACCTATCAAGAATTATGAAATGGATCACTGAACAAAAAGGGTTCTAGTTTCATTCCAAATGTCGAGGGCTCAAATTAAACCATCTATGTTTTGCGGAGGATGTGTTATTCTTTTGTAAAGGGGAGTGGCAATCTGTGGAAATGATCCTAAGGGGGATGGAAACATTCTCAAAAGCATCAGGATTACATACTAATGCAGCTAAATCAAACATCTATAGTGCGAACATGGAGGAGCAATGCATTCAAGACATATGTGAGCTTACAGGATATCAAAGAGGGGCATTACCATTCAGGTACTTGGGGGTACCAATATCTGCTAGGAAGCTATCAATAACAGATTGTGAAATGTTGGTGGAGAAGATGGCTACCAAAGTCAGAACATGGAGTACAAGAAATATATCCTATGCTGGAAGGGTGATGCTAGTGAATTCAGTGTTGATGCAAGTGCACTCATATTGGGCTTCCATCTTCATCCTCCCAAAAAAGGTATTAGTGAACATAATAGGCATCTGCAGAAGCTTTCTATGGGAAGGAAAAGGGAACTCAACCAAAATGGCATTAGTAGCATGGGACATAGTGTGTAGGCCTAAACAACAAGGGGGACTGGGGATAACTGATTGTATAATTTGGAATGAAGCAGCAATGGTGAAATATGTATGGAACATAACAAAAAAGGAAGACAATCTATGGGTGAAATGGGTCAACCATGTATATATAAAGGATCAGTCGTGGCGGCAATATGTACCTCCAAATGACAGCTGTTGGTATTGGAAGAAAATCTGTACCATTAGGGATAAATTTGCTGCTGGATTTGTGAACAATGGTTGGCTAACACAGGGGGAAAATATACTGTGAGAAGTGGATACTAATGGTGTAAAGGAGAAGCAGAGAAACAGCCATGGCATCGAGGGGTATGGAGTCGGATGAATGTGCCTAAACATAGCTTCACTAGCTGGCTTGCCATGTATAGGAAGTTACTGACTAAGGAGCAACTGCTAAAACTGAAGATAAGCCAAGATAGTGGATGCCTGATATGTGGGAACCAAGTAGAAACAGTGGAACACCTGTTCTTTGAGTGCAAATTATTAGAGGAATGCCTAAGAAGGATGGTGGTATGGATGCAGAGAGGGACAACAAAGCATGATTTAAAGGGGATATGGAGAAGAATAACTCGAGGAGTTCATGGGAAGAACTGCAGGGAGTTCATAACAGCAGTGATCGCAGCACTAATATACAAGATATGGTGGGCAAGAAATGAAGCATTATGGAATCAAAGGGTACCTACACCAAGAAGCATATGTGTACAGATACAGCAAGAATGTAAAGCTAGAATAGCACAACTGATAAACAAAAAATCTAGTAGGAAGGAGAGGGAGTGGATAGATCAATTGTATAGGAAACAATGAAAAAAGAGTATAGGAGAGTATAGGGAAGATATAGAAAGATAGAGGAAGAGAAGAAGGAATCAAGGGCAATAATTTGTAAAGAGTTTCTGTTTATTTGTGAATAAAAGCTTTATGTTTCAAAAAAAAAATACTTATAGGTTCTAGTGGTCATAATGTAAAAAATGCAAAATGAAGGGTACATCTAGTTTAAGAAAATTATAAAGATATATTTACTTTACTCGAGATGACTTTTCTATTCCTCTACAGTTACATCAACTACACATTGCTAAAGTTTATTATAAAATGCTCAAATATTTTTAAGAAAAAATTAATACATAAACTATTCATTTTAAAATTGGGGGCCTAATGCATATTACTTGCCTAGCCTTTGAGCCGGCCCCTGAGTGGATGCATTAATATTGTTACTCCACAAGAGCCTCATCCACATTTCAAGAATCCGTAAAACCAATGACAAATTAAACATGAGGCTCTTACCTGGAAATTTCAAATCAAATTGCAACATAATGCACTTCTACTCAAATTATCACCTGCTTTTTGCACTGCCACTTTCAGGGTGCTCTACACTAAATACACTTAATGCTCGTACTTTCAAGATGACAAACTCCTGGGACCCGGGGTCCGGGCACTGCTCTGTCGGAGATAGAGCAGCCGAACTCCGCCACAAGTGGATGGAATTCCAAAGAATCAAGAATTAGGAAGGCTTGCTTGATCAACTTGATGATCAGTGGCGGAGGCAGGATTTTAGCTAAGCGGGTTCAAAAAAGAAAAAAGTTAAAGAAAATTGTAGCTAGTGGGAACTGAACCAATGACCTTACAGAGGTTTTGAACCCCCTTGACCACTAATCTATATTTTTGGGTTGCGTCAAGGGGATTCAAAATATAATATATAGAGTTAAAAAATTCATAATATAAGGCAAAACATAATATTTTGCCTTATATATACAGTGTAATTTTTTGACGGCTAAATCCGCCCCTGTTGATGATGATCTCCGCAAAGGAGATCGTAAGTGGATTCTTGAGTTTGTACATGATGATAGGCTATAATTACGTATTTTAGTCTCTTATTACACTCTAATTTACTGCACTTTAATTGAGTTTGAGCTTTAATCGCTAGTGTCCTGCACTAACTGTGTGTTTTATGCCTTGTAGGAGTGATTCCGAGCTATATAGATGTTATGGAATGAATTCAAGTGATTTGGAGCTTTGAAATCTGAGTAAAAGCCCAAGGATGCGAGCCGGGATCGCGTTTGGGGGTCAACGGATGCTAGTTAGAGCGAACGAAGAATCGAGCAGGCATATTGTGTACTGTCTAGTAAAATAGATATAATGTTTTGCTCAGAACTCCATTTTGGCTCCACAATATATGGTTGGAAAGCTAACTCAAAGGGCTACAACTTTTGTGTTTTACGTTTTTCAAAATTCCAAACGGAACAGGGTAAAAAGTGCGCTCCCAGATGCGCGATCGCGCTAGTTTTAGCGCGCCCAGGACAGAAAGTTGTCCAACTAGCGCGGCCATTAGCGCGCCCAGATGCGCGACCCTGCTAGTCAAACCCGGGAAAAATGTCCTTTTTCACATTGGAGAAGGTATAATTGTTTGGGCCCAACCCTACTTGGTATATATACATGGAAAAATGGTATTTTGAAGGAGGACACCACTTTTGGTGATTTCTAACATACTTTGACGGAGAATTCATGTGGAGAAGCACACACCATGCTTGGAGGAGGCTTTTAACTAGTTTTTCTTCTCTTCTCTTCCTTTATTTCATAGTTTATTAGTTCTAGAGTTTTGGGTGCTACATGAACGTTGTAGTTTGAAGCTTGAATTGTTCTTATTATTTTATCATATTGGTTTATTTATCCAATCTTGCGCTTAATTATTTGATTGCTTGATCACCAATTGAATACTATCTACGAATCTAGGATTGAACTCGGGAGAGGGAATTCTAGATTGCATATAAGATTGAGTAGAGCAAGATCTTAACTCTTAGGGTAAGCGGATTTGCGGTTAGGATAGGAATATACCTAATTGCCTTGCTTGGTTATTACACGGGAATTATAAAGGCGTTCTTGTTAATCCTAATTCCTTAGGAATATAGGCGTTAGGTTAGCTTGAATATGCGAGTTGTACTTCGGGAGAAGGCTACGAGCAATATTAACCCTCTCAATCAATAAATCAGATAAATTAATTAGACGATTTAGGTGGAAAACTCAACGGGATTGTCAGCTAACCCATAGCTCTAGAATATTCACTCATATTGAATTCGTCTCTATAATTCGCCAACTTATTTTCTTTGATCTCTTAATTTGTTACTCTAGTTTAATTTTAGTTAAATATTCATACTTTAGGAATCGCTTGAATAGATTAATTATTTGGTTTAATTTAGTTGATAGTTAATCACAAGTCCCTGTGGGTACGATATCTGGACTTATAATCCTATATTACTTGTCGACCACGTATACTTGCGTGTGCATTTTGGAGCAACAAGATTTTGGCGCCGTTGCCGGGGATTTAGAAATTAACTATTCTACTAGATTGGATTTTTACTTTTTGCTTATTCAAGTTTTTATTTTTTTATTTTTAGCTTAGTTTAATATTTTATTATCTTTGTTGACATGACATCTTGGAAGGAGAATTGGTCAAATATTGGTTATTCTTATTTTGGTGATCCATGTCCATATTGTGGAGGACCACACTTGTGGCAAAATTGTGCATCTCAATTTGATGTGTGGAATTTTTATAATATGTGTGGTGGTCAAGGTGACCATTGAGATGGTTGTCCTAATTCTTATTATCCTTCTCAGAATTCTTATTATTGTTTCTAATAATGTTTATGAGTTTGATAGGAGCAAGGAAGTGGAGGATATGGAAAGCATGGCTCGTATTATGGACATGATGAGGCAAGTAGTCGAGCAACAAGATGAAACTCGAAAGGCTGCACAAAGAATTAGTGCAGCAATCATGAGAATGAAGGCCGAGGCGGAGGAAGTGGCTGAAGAGAGCGAGTTCCCACCAGAAGATAATTTAGAAGAAGCAGATATAGTGAGCCAATCTTGGCTAGAGGAACAAGCTCAACTGATAAAATCTCATGACTTTCTACGTGATGGTCTTTCAAATATGGCAGAACAACTAATAGAAGGAAGAACTGAGCTCAGGAAAGAGATAGACCAATTTGGCTTAGATATCCATGACCTGCACGATCAATTGAATAAAAAGGTTGAGGCGTCTGATGCCCTACAACCAATTGTTGTGGATACTGGTCAACTTATGGAGTGGAAAGAAGAATTCCAATTATTAGACCAAAATATTATTAATGATGCCAAGGTTGACGAAGAGCTCAAAATTGAGGATGTCAAAAATAATGTAATTTTGGAGTTGGAGCGTATTGGACCTCATTCTAAACATTTTTCAACATTGTATTTTGTTGGTGACATGGGAATTGATCCAGTCGAGCATATGAAGGAGTCAATGGATGAGGAACAAAGTGCTTATATTCTGAAATTTGTGATGTCAAGGAGACAAAATGACATTCCTCACTTAAAGGCCAAGAAGTGCAAGATGCGATACCTATTGCTTGGTTCATTTATTTTCACACCACCGCCCCAAGAACGTGACACAAAAATTGATGCAAAACTGGGGCGCAATTCATATCCTCAAAGTGGAAGGAAAAGTGGTGAAAGTGATGGTGTCGTGCCGCGACGTTAAATAAGGCGCTTGTTGGGAAGCAACCCAAATTTTTTTTCTTTTATTTTATTTTATTTTATTGTGTTAATATTTTTTTTTGTAGTATTATTTTTGTATTTTGTAGGAGTACGAGCATGGAATCAAAGCCAAGAGGCATGTGCAAAAGCGAGCAGGTGGTTGAACTAAGTGTGAGGTACCTGCACAAGGGATCATACCAGGGAGAAGTCTGAGTATCCCGTGAGCTGCTAATTCTTCGGCCTTTGGCCTACCAGGGAGTTTCTTTTACCCTGTTGTTATTTTTAGTGTGCATTGAGGACATTGCACAATTTTAAGTGTGGGGTGAGGAGATTGTCTGGGTGATTTTCTGTGCCATCTTAGTGTAGTTGTAGTACTCGTTCTTAGTGTAGTAGTTTTTGTTAAAAAAAAAAAATTAGAAAAAGTTCGGACTTTTCCCGACGATGGATCTTTTGGACAATTTTCTTGAGGGATAAAAGTCCGATTAAAAATATCAAAAAGTTTTTTTTTAGGATAGTTAGGTAGTATCCCTTGGTTTTTCTTTGGGCGCCGGTTCTTTTCCAAGGGTGTAGCTCGAACCGGGTACTTTATTTTTTTTAGGAGTAGTTTAGGAAGAAACTGAGTCGCTCCGAGATACTCATTGACATGGTTAATGCTGGCACAATAGGCTATGACATACATTCTGTTTTCCCGTATATTTGGTTTGATTTGTGAAGCCTAAGTAAAGTAAATAGCCTATTTTGTGACGCCTGTTCTCAGTTGTTCGACTTGTATGCTACATAGTGCAATATTGCTTAAATTTCTTAATTATGTGTGTTTACTTGACTTGAGAGTTGAACCGAACCGTCTTGATTGAGTCATGTGCGACGTGTGTGTGAGGAATTGTGATTTTCTATGCTATCCTGCATAGTCTAGAACTTGCCCCGTGTGTTAATTGAAGCGAAATTGTAAGTGTGCTAATCTAGGAGATGACGTAGGCATTTTCTTGCTTGATCATGGATGTGCTTGTCACATAAAAATAAAATTTTCCGTTGCTAGCCCCTTTGAGCCTATAGACCTTTCTTTGGCACCCACAGTACAAGCCATCCCCCATTTTATTCTCAATTTGATATTGATTGAACCTTTACCTCCTACGGCACTTAGGCGCTAAAAGAAGTAAGGTTAGAAATTGGGGAGTAGCTTTTGAGTGGAACCATGAAAGGGCCGTTGGTGCACTAAAGTTGAAATTAAAGGTCACTAGCCGATGAACTTTATTGTATGGAGTGTGTGGAAAAAAAAAAGAGAGAGAAAAATTTAAAGAAAA